AGATAGATAGATAGATAGATAGATAGATAGATAGATAGATAGATAGAGAGGAGATGGAGAGGGAGAGGGAGAGAGATGATAAGCAAACTACAGACAATTCTTTTAAAAATGTTAGAGACAGAGCAGAACCGAAAACGAGAGATTCCAGTTTTGGAAAACAAAGTACATACCGAGAAATGTGTGTATATATGGGAACCTGCAAGATAATGGATTTTATTAATATTGGGTTTGTAAGCAGACTTGCCATGAGGACAGCCAGGGACTGATCTGTGGCAGATCTTTAACTGGATTATGAATCCACCAGGTAGGCATTGCAGTTTCATTTTTCTATGCTTGAATATTCAGCTGTTTGGGTAGCTGGAATTCCTAGCTTTGAAAATAATATCTCCCAGTTGCTTCTTCTGGACCAAACAAGCAAAATACTATTATCCAACACACACCTTGGTTACGCTTTCTCGTTGGAGTCAAAATTGCCACCAAGGAAGAAAAACTGTGGGTCGCTCTATTCTCTTAGCACTCAAAAATTGCAGACCAGACAAACAACAACACAGAAATTAGAGGAAGTATAGATAAAAAAGGGTTAAAAATGAGGTTAAAGGATTGGATTCTGGCCAAAAAACACATGAGAAGGAGTACATATAAGAAAAGTTGAAGGGCACTGAGTAGTTTGCAATTAGAATTTCAAACAGACCAACATCTGTGCATTAAAGTCCCAAAAAGCTTTGTACTTGAATTCCAAAACAGAGCTAATAATTTCTTTTGCTGCCTTCAAACCCTACTCAACTCTGTCTCTATTCCATGAGGACAGGAGAGTCTATATTTTTTCAGACCAGTTCTTCTTATTTTTGGTTAATATTCTCCACTTTTTGAAAAGAGAAAATGGATTTTTTGTTCTTTCTTTGAAGTTTGGGAGTTAAGCTTGCGTGGCACACGAATTGAAAAATATTGTGGATGATGTCAAGCCAGCTTCTCACTGCCCTACCTTGTAAGGAAAGAGTTGCATGCACACAATATCCCTACCATTTGATGAGTTTTGGGGAAACATGAGTTTCAAAGAAGGGTAGGAACATCCTCCAAAACTCATAATCTTAGGTTGGTACTCACATCAGTAGATTAAATAATTCTGAAGGACATTGTGTTGGTTGGGTATCATGGTAGTGTCATAATAACCAGGTAATCATTGAACTTGGTTGTTTTCTTTTCTTTCTTTTTTAATAAAGTTTTATTAGTTTTCTATTGTTTACATTTTGTTAGTGCTTAATAAACATTGTGTTGTCTGGGTTATTTTATCTGCTTAGCATCCAACTACCAGTACTGGTAGAACAAGTTCCATGTTTGATAATATTCTGTATCTTCTTTCTGTTTAATCTTCAATGTGAGTCTGTCCATTTCTGTACAATCCAGTATCTTCCTAATTATCTCTTCATCTTGTGGTATTTCTTCATTTCTCCAATATTGTGCAAATATAAATTCCTTGCTGCTGTTAATGCATGCAATATTAAATATATATTTTGTTTATCAATTTTTTTCTGGTGCTATACCTAATAGGAAAAAAAAATCAAGTTTAAAATCTACATGTCTTCCTATCATCTTTTCTAACCTGAACTTGGTTGTTTTCTTGCAGATGTCTCATGACCCAACTAGGTAACATCATTATGGCTTTCATGTGAATTAGGCCCCAAAGCCTCAAACTTTCCTCCAGGTTGGAGGACAACAATTTGGAAAGACACTGGTTTTTATTTTTTTCTTCAGAAGATCAATATGTTCACAAACCAAACTCATATGCAAGAAAATATTGGCCCTACACAGTTGTCAATTCTTGGGACATCTCTGTTTTGGGTTCATTGAGCTTGGAATATCTAGCCTGTCTCCGTAATCTTCTAGTTAAGAAAAACAATAAGGAAACCTCATTCTACTTTGGTATCTCAAGGAAATCAAGATTAAGTTTACCAACAGACCAAATTTGCTTGAAGAGTTTGCAGGAGGTAAAGATGTCGAATTGTGCACTCTCACTAATGGGATATGTGGTTATACCACCTCATCTAAAACTAGCTTATTTTTTTGTTCCATATGCCCATCAATCTGAGAAGAATTATCTCATGTAGTTCTCTAGAAGTAGTTTCCTCAAGCAAGGTCCAGGTATTTTTCAGCCGAAAACTACATCTTCGGCCAATTAAATTATAGATTTTTCAGTCCAGAATAGCCTGCATAACAATCAGCCAGTTTGGGCTAGTGGTAAAGGCACCAGGCTAGAAAGTGGGAGACGGTGAGTTGTAGTCCTCCCTACCCTTAGGAATGAAAGCTAGCTGGGGTGACATTAGGTCAATCACCAGGAGACTGGGAGTTCTAGTCCCCCCCTTAGGCCTGAACACTGGTTGGGATGTCTTTGAACCAATCACCAGAAGATGGTGAGTTCTAGTCCTCCCTTGGGCATGAAAGACGGTTGGGGTGATTTTAAGCCAATCACCAGGAAACTGGGAGTTCTAGTCCCCCCTTAGGCCTGAAAACTGGGTGACTTTGAGTTAGTCCCTCTCTCTCAGCCCAACTCACCTCACAGGATTGTTGTTGTTCTGGGGAAAATAAGAAGAAGGTGTGTTGGATATGTTTTCCCCCTTGAGATATTTGAATAAATAATAAAGCCGGGATAAAAAAAATACATATATAAACTCATTCTTAAATTCTTGGTTGACCTTTTCCGAAAGAATAATTCACCAGTTCCCAAAGCAAAACTGAAAAGTGATTCAGGACCTTCTATTTTCATTCTGAAAAAAAACCAATGCCATGAGCAACATCAGCTGAGAGCTTTTATGACCAAATGTGGTTCCTTGGGGAATTCTTGATAAACTCTCAGGGACTCTCAAGTTTGTCAGGATCTTGGAGTTCCAAAAGAGAGTCAGAAGGTCATGGTCCTTAAACTTACCAAAGATCTGGATAGTGAGAAGAACATCCTGACTTGCAATAGCCACATTTGAAGATAATTTGTTCCCCGATAATCAGCAGTTATCATGTCTTTATGTCATACAGATATCACACTGACTCATACTTGCTTGTGGTACAAAATGACCTTTGCTGATCCAGTAGAGAGAAAAAATTAAATTTCACATT